CGTCTACTCCTAATCTGTACGTCTTTTTATTCATTGCATCTGCCCATATGGGAGCCGCATATATAGCAATAGACTTAACTACATTTGTGAGTAACTGCTTCTTCTGTTGTCTAGGTCCACCTATATTGGGCATTATTCGCGATAGTGCACACGTTGTTTTCGCACATTTTGCAGCAACATATCGTAAATGCTCTTTGAAGGTGAGTCTATTGTCAATCATTACTCCAAGATACTTGATTGCTTGTTTTGATGTGACTCGCTCATTGCGAACAGTTATTGTAATGTACTCAATCTTTTTCCTGCTGCTTACAAGAAGGACTTCAGTTTTATGATCAGCAAGTTTGAGGCCTACACTTGTGATCCAGCTCCTTACCATAGCGACCGCATCCTTGCATGTTGATTGTATCTTTTCTATATGTTTCCCTTTAACCACCAGCGCGATGTCATCAGCAAATCCAATTATTTCTGCGCCTTCTGGGAGCTCAAGTCTCAACACTCCGTCATACATATTGTTCCACAATATTGGACCCAGTACCGAGCCCTGTGGTACCCCTGCTGTTACTTGGTATGACTTTGTGCCTCTGTCTGTGTAATACAAAAGCACTCTCTCTTTAAAATAAGCTGCGTTTCAGCAAACATGATCCGCTCAATGATCTGGATCATCTTTGCTGAAACGATATGGATCACGTTTGAAAATAATTGGCAACGCATGAAATATGCCATTTGGGTTTGTGTACAAAATTTTTTGATTTATGGGAATATTTTTGGCGCTAAAAAAATAAGTGAGAAAATATTGAAAAATGGAAAATAAATAAAATCTGTTGAAATGTCTGAAGTATTTACTTAAAAACTTACATTTAATTCTATAGTAAATAAATGAAAATTGCAGATTTTATTAGAATCATCAAGCGAAACTGACTCTTCCATTCCATTTTTAAATACTAGTTCAAGTGTATTAAACTCAAGGGATGAAGTACATCAGCATGGATATAGTGGAAGTTTTGTGGAAACGATCAATAATTCTTTCGTTAAAGATTATTTGATTGGTATTTGCACATAAAAAATACAATTGCTATGTATTAATTATGTTTCATATTTTAATAGATTTGTTAATAAATTCCAATCAGCAAATGCAAAATAACCGTGATGATCACAATCGGACGAGAGCAATGAAGGAATTTTATATATTTTTGTGGTATATGGCAAATATGAATACTTTTTGCGAATTTGGTATTTGTTTTGGCATACCAAGAGCTTCTGTATGGAGAATAAAAGAACTAGTGTTTAACGTATATCAATTGGACACTAATTTATAAAATACGCACTTGCTAATAATACAAAAGTGGAAACTTCGAAAAAATTTCCGTTAGTAATTGGTTGCATAGACAGCACACATGTAAAAATAAATGCACCATACCATAGCAAATAGGCTTATTTCAAAAGAAAGCATGACAATAGCTTAATCTTGCAGATAGTTTGCGATGAAAATGGTTTTTTTATAAACGTGTATGTTGGAGAGCCTGGATCCTTATGTATTGTTCTGTTTTAATTAAATAAATGTATTCAACTTAATTTATATATATTCATTACAAATTAATTGATTTTAATAAATTATCAAACAACACTTTTTCAATAATAATAAAACGTAAATAAATAAGGTAATAAATTTAATTATAGTAATAGTTAAAACATTATTGTAAACAAAGAAATAAATAATAACGACATATTAAATAAATAAGTACATAAAATAAATAATAAATAAATAAAATCAATAATAAATAAATTTAAATGTAGATTTGTTTATAATTTTACTGCACCGTTGCATCGCATTGCCAACCTCATTTGCATTAAAATACGTTCCACTTTTATCTTTTACACACGTTCCACATTGAACCAGAAAGTGAACCAGATCAATTGCTGGTTCACCCCATTGTTTTTGTTTTGCATGTAAAATTGAGCGGATCATGTTTGCTGAAACGCAGCTATAGTCAACGATTAATTCTACTAGGTACTTTGAAACGTCTTTCCCTTGAAGTGCTGCTAGAACAGTGTCCCAGTCCGCTGAGTTAAATGCGTTTTTAACGTCTATTGTAATGATAACACAGTATTCTTTGTCTCCTTCGAGCCAACGGGCTCCTTTAATGGCATCTTTTGCTATGGCTATGACTGCTTCCACGGCCTCTATTGTGGAGCGTGCCTTCCGAAAACCAAATTGTCTATCTGATAAACCATTGCCATTCAGGGCTTCTTCTAGTCTTCGGCTAATTATCTTTTCCAAAACTTTACCGGCCGTATCAATCATACATAGCGGGCGGTAGCCTGATGCATCTTGTACGTTATTGCCCTTTGGTATAAGCACCAACCTTTGTATTTTCCATATCTGAGGGAATGTTCTCTCCTTTATACATGCGTTGAACACTTCCCTGAATGAATCAGCGTTGATTTCTGTGGCCATCTTTAGTGCCAGATTTGGTATTCCATCTACTCCAGGTGCTTTGGTTAGTTTCAAACCTTTGCATACGACTTCCAATTCTTGCCTGCTAACCTCAGGTATTTCATTCTGTGGCTCACTATCTTGTACTGTATAGGTTATATCAGCTCTCTGCGGGAAGAGACCTTCAACTATTGCTTGTAGTTTAGCTGTGTCTGTTGTAACTGGTGGACGGTAGCTATATAATTTTTTCATAACCACTTTATATCCTAGTCCCCAGAGGTTATTCTCGACCTCCTCACACATTTCCTTGAAGCATCTTGCCTTGCTATTCGATATCGCCTTTTTTAGGTCAGTTCTCGATGTTTTATAGGCTTCTTGGTGCGCTATAAAATTTTCACGACCCCTTGCTCTTTGACATAGGCGTCGCGCATGTTTGCATTTTCTTCTCAGTTCGGAAATTTGGTCAGTCCACCAATACACATGTTGTCTGCCATTCCGCCGGCCTTTCTTTGCCATAGATGCGTTACATGAATTTGTTATGCAGCGCATCAGTTGTATTGCTTTATCATTTGCACTGCCAGTTAGGTGGATGTCGTCCATTGAGAGCTTAAAAGCTTCTTTGTCCAAAGTTAACTCCTTCCATAGCGGATTTGGAGTGGCTACCGCAGTAATGGTTCTTGCTGCGCGGTCATGTATTTCGAATATGATAGCTTGGTGGTCACTATGTGTGTAGATATCTGACACTTGCCACTCAGTTGAATTAGCTAGTGGATCGCTGATAAATGTCAAATCAATCTTAGAGCTTCTACCGTTCCTTGTGAATGTATCCTTTTGGCCGCAGTTCAATAATACTACATCCAGGGTGGCCAATGCTTCTAGTAGGCACTCTCCCCTGGGGTTTGTCAATGTTGAGCCCCATTCTATGGCCCAGGCATTGAAGTCACCGGCAATCACTATCGGCTTCATATTTTTAGCGTCGCTAACAATATTGTCCAGTCTTTGTTTGTATTCTTCGATTGATAGACTGGGGGGTAAATAACAGCTGAAAAACGTTATTCCATTCACTGTACTTTTTATGTATGCTTCCCCTCCGTCGAAGACCTTCTCTAGTGGGAATTTACCACACGTCCATATCGATGCCTTGTTGCACTTGCTGGTAGCCCAGCAGTGATTGTCTAGTGTTCTATAATGTTCGCTCATTATAGCTAGATCTATTTTTAATTCGCGTACAGTCTGCTTTAAAAGATCCTGTGCCGCTTCACAGTGGTTTAAGTTCAGCTGTAAAATTTTCATCTTTTTTTATTTAGTATCCTCCGGCGGGCAGTCAAGTAGTGGGGACATTTAGGTCCTCCCGTAATATGGTTAGCGTCAATATTTGTGTCAGTTCTACAAAGAAGGCAGTGAGGGGCACCTTGACACGCTTTAGCAAGGTGGTCCTCTCCACCACACTCGTAGCAGTGTTTAGACCAGTCTTTGGAGCTCTGACAGTTCCTTGCCACATGTCCAAAATCGAAGCATTTGTAACATCTCCTGGGGGTAACTTTTTGGAGTAATCGGCACACGGTCCATCCAACTCGTAGTTTGCCCACCTCCTCAGCTTTACCGGCCTGCTTCTTTGGTATTACAATTATAGCCGTTCTGGTACCTCCAGGGGCATTTCTTATTGTTTCGATCGCCGAGGGATCAAAACGTGCACAAATGTGCGATTGCACAAACGTGCACAAATGTGCGATTTTGCGCTTGCACCCAAGGGTGGAAAAAAATTGCAGGAACTTCACAATTTTGTTTGAAATAGAAAATATTATTTTGTAGCAAATTTTGAAAAAATTGATATTTGCGTTCGTTGGGATCGTAACTTGTGTTAAAAATTTCATAAATAACAAATATTTAAAATAATTATTTTTGTTAATTAATTTTAACTAAAAATTATAATTGTCTTAACCTTATTTGTATTTTAACTTAAAATATTAGTTTTTTGTATATTACTTTGTGCATTTTTAAATGCAAATATAGTAAGTGAACTTAAAGTATTTGTTTGGAAAGTTTTGCACCAGTTTAAAAAAAATAAAAACATATTTTAGGAAGATTTTTTTATGCCCAAAAAATATGAAAGATTACGAAAGATTAGGAAAATATTTTTTTTTGAATTTTTTTTTGGTGTATTTGTTTAATAAATTTTGCAACAGTTTAAAAAAGATAATACAAGAGGGCCACAAATAGATATTTTTCTTCTACAGAAATATGTATTCACTTAAGTAGAGTTTCTAACATTCATTAAAAAACGCGAAAGATTAGGAAAATATTTTCTTGAACAGGTAGCAGGATTTTAGCGCCCTTTCTACTGTGCTAAGTAAGCAGAGATATAATTTAAGTGATAAAAATATTTCAGCAATGTTATTAATAAGATTAAATGTTTTATGTCAGGAATCTTGCGATATTTTATTATAACATTACAAACCTTTATTCCAATTTTTTTTAAATTATCACACACCTTTTTACCTAAAATCAAACCTAAAACTAAACTGACTTCTTATTTACTGTCAAAACCAAAAGGTTGCTAGATTGATTATATTACAACTCGGCCATCCTGATATATTGATTGACCACAATTATCCAACGAAATATCTGGCCTCAAATTTTGGTCAGGGCCCGTTATCCATTCCCTTATTCGTGCAGCCTCAACAACGCCATCATATGGCATTTGCGTAATCTGACAATTGTCTACATCTCGCAAAACATAACGATCGTTAGGCAAAACCTTATGTATGACGTACGGACCTCGATATTTTTCAGAAAATTTTTTGTTTTTTCCGGCAGTGGTGTCTATATGTCGAATCACAACAAAGTCACCCTCAAAATATTTTTTTGGCGGTTTACTCTTCTCTGTGAAATATTTAAAGTTTTTTTTCTGGGAGCTATCAATATATCCTGCAGCTTCCTGGCGCATTTGTTCAAGATCTCTAACATGTGCTCTCTGTTTCTTTTCGGATAAATACTCTGTCAAATAATCTATTACTTCGCCCTTTTGATCTACATCGAATAAAAGTTGACTTGGTGTCTGTTTAGACGAACTATGTGTAGAGTTGTTAATGGCAAATTCTACCTTTGGTAACATCCTCACCCAATCGGCATGATTAATTGGGTCAGTCATTTTACTCAACATGGTTTTTAGAACATGATTTACTCTTTCAACTTGGCCATTGGCTTGAGCAGAGGCCACCGCGACCTTAACATGATTGATATTATGCTTCAGTAAAAATTCACTAAACTCTAATGAGGTAAAACATGTACCTCTATCACTTATTATCCTTTTAGGGCGGCTGTAATTTTGAAAATACTTTTCGAGACTAGCTATTACTTCTTTGGTACTGGTTGACTTAACTGCAAAAAGTCTTACAAACTTAGTGAATGCATCAACAACTACAAATAAATGTTTTCGCACAGGTTGAATTGATGGCAGAGGCCCAAAATGATCCACATGAATAGTGTCGAACGGAACAGGTTTTTTTGGAATGTTGTAAAGATTATGTTCATTTACCCGTGCTGGCGGAGAACACATTATACAACGCAGACAATTTTTAATGAACTTCTCTATCTTTAACTTCATGTGGCGGAATCAATAGTTCTTTCTAACTTCCTCGTACGTCTTATCTATTTCTTGATGGCACATTTTTTCATGAACGAGACGAATAACATTGTCTTCCATTTCGGCTGGAACATATAATTGTAAATTATTATCTGTTTTTACTCTAAAAACCAACCCATCTCTTAGCTCGTATCCGTCAACAATTTCGCTTTGCAATTGCTCTCGTAATCTTACAATCTCGCTATCGCGGTTTTGTAAAACCTGTATATTGAAATCTAAGTCTTCCTGCTTAGCAACAACCACCGTTTTACATGGAATTCCTATCATACCATCATAGTCTTCAATAATTTCATTAGGCTTGTTAGATTCAGTATCATTATCATCTTCAGAGTAGGTACACATTACAAATTTATTTTTAATTCTCGTAGAGTAATCTTCCGTCTCTGTTTCTTCTCCTTTAAAACATCGACTTAATGCATCCGCATGACTCATTGAAATACCGCCTCGATGTTGTATCTTAAAATCAAAGTGCTCAAATAAAAGTGCCCACCTTGCTATTTTTGGACTGATGTTTTTCTTTTCAAACGTTAGTGATAGTGCACTGCAGTCAGTAACTATTTTAAATGGAATACCTCTGAGATAGTTTTCAAAACGATTGAGAGCATGCACAATGGCCAAGGTTTCTAACTCGAAGCTGTGCATTCTTGACTCCTCTGGTGATGTTGCTTTGGAATAGTAACATACCGGATGAAATTTTGTCGCTGCAAAAGTACTGCTCCAAAACCTAACTTGCTAGCGTCAGTGTGCAATTCGGTTTCTTTAGTGTGATTAAATATGGCCAAGACAGGTGGTGTTATCAACTTTTGCTTTAATAATCTAAACGCTTCCTTACATTTCTCATTAATGCAAAACTCAACACCGGTCCTAAGGAGGCGCTGCAGCGAATATGCTATTTTAGCAAAGTTTGGAACAAATTTGCGAAAATATGAAAACATTCCTAGACATGAACGCATGTCGTGTAATGTCTTCGGCATTGGGTAGTGCATAATCGCCTTCAAATGAGAGCTGTTTGGTAAAATACCCTTTTCACTTGCTTGATAACCCAGAAACTCGGTGGTCTCACAAGCAAACTTACATTTACTGAGATTTAACTCTAAACCGACCTCAGCCAAACGATGAAGCACCTGAATTAATGCATGTATATGTTCCTCTAAAGTTTCGGTTGCTACTTCAATATCATCCATATAAACAATAATTTTACCTTGTGCAATTAGATCTTGCAGTTTTTGATGAATAAATCGCTGAAAAACAGCAGGAGCGTTTTTTAATCCGAACGGCATACGATTGTATTCGAATTGACCAAGAGGAGTTACGAAAGACGCATATTTTCTTGAATCTGTCGCAACCTTAACCTGAAAGAAACCATTTCTAAGATCTAATGTCGTGAAATACTTTTTACCGCCTAGGTGTTCCAAACATGTTTCAATTAATGGCAAGGGATAATTGTCACGAATTGTATTCTTGTTGAGAACTCTATAATCTACACATTTTCTAAATACTCCGTTCTTCTTTCGTACCATAACAATTGCAGACGCATATGGTGAATCACTCGGTGTAATTATTTTTTTCTTCAACAAGTCACTTATTATTTTCTGTAATGCTTCACGCTCCTCAAAGGATAGTTTTCTTGGTGCAAAGTGGAAAGGCACGTCAGAGGTCAGTTTTATATTAATTTCATAATTTTCCTGCCTGCCTTCATAATGTGAATTCAAATAATTTAATACAACTTCTCTTATTTCCTCGACCTTGGATTTTTCTAACATAGGATTAATATCAATGCTATTTGAATCTGTATCAATATTAATCGTCATCAGACTCCTAAGTTCATTTTCAAAAGGATTAATTTCATTTTGTTTCCTATCAGATGCCCGTGCGTCGCTAGTCGCACTACATAAAACAAACTTACTTTTCTCCATTACATCAGTGAACAAAGCGGATCCTGGAACATTTTGTTTAAACTGCGGGGTGGTAGAGGAAAATTTCAACTCTCTTATATTTTTTTTATGACTGTTTACTAAAATTTTTAAAACAACTTGAAATTTTTGCAGTGTCTCGCCCCAGTAGAAGCGGGACAGGTAAAGTATTATCTGGTACTACAAACAATAACACTTTTTCACATCTATTCTTAAAAATCATCATACAACTTATTTTACCATAAGTTTTAATTTTAAATTTTCCAAGGCCATAATATTGGGTTTCATCTGTCTCCTCTTGAATTGCTACTGGGACGGAAGATTTATGTATTAAGCTAATTGAGCTGCCGGTATCAAAAAGATATAAAACAGTTGTGGTTATGTTACGCCCACACTTTGTATCATCAAAAACAACACTTACGTAATTCATAGCCTCAAGTGCAGATGCGACATCATCGACAATATTAGTATCTTCTGCACAATCCATGGTCATAGCAACAGAGGTAGCACTTTTAAGTTTCGGTGTGTACTTTGGATTCGGGCATGACTTGCGATTATGGCCACTCTTCCAGCAGTTATAACAACCATTAATCGGTCGCTCCTCGTACAGACATGTTGGACGACGGTGACCAAATCTAGAACAATTAAAGCAGCGGTTTGCATTTTGCGTTGGATTGTCAGCAAAATAACCAGATGAAAGTTTCACTGTAGTCTTCGTTTCACGGTTGGCATCTTGTTTATTGGCTACACCACGCACAGCCTGCCGTTGTTCGAACATGGCAACAGCACCCTTTAGTTCATTTAAATTCTTAGCAGTGTTAAACAAAACGAAGTCTGGAATACGATTACTTAAACCTTCTAATATAAAAGCAACTAATTCCAACTCCATAACATCGCTGCGGTGAGCAATAGATTCCATTTCCATCGCATAACGGTGGACACTCTCTGTTGGCTTTTTAGTACGCATGCGAAGTGCCTGATAGACCTCCTGACGGCTAATTGTTCGTCCAAACTCACCAATAAGTTTTTGCTTTAACTCTTCATACGTCAAATAACCTCGTGTTAGTAACAATCTCGCAGCACCAGTTAACGAATTGCGCAACGCCAATAATTTAAATAAGTCATCTGCACCAACTTGTTCAAAAATTTGTTCCAAGTGACGGAAAAAGTCATGAACTGAGTATGTGCGGTCTTCTCCGCTAAATTTTATTATAGCATGCTCAATATCTTGGAAATGTATTTTATGCTGTTGTATTGGTTGCACACTAGTACCAATTCATTTCGGTGTTCCATTTCCTCAATTTCGCACCGCAACCGAAGAATTTCATGGCGACGGCGTAAATCAGCAAGCTCTTGGTCATGGTCGTCATGCACAGCATTTCTTTCAACTAACCTCTCACGGCTTGCGGAGTCTCCAAAGGCGGCAATTGTAGAGGTAGTGACAGCGGTAGTGACGACTGAGGAGGAGCTAACAGCGGTTTGTTTGCTGAGGCCTTCAACATTACTTAGACGACGAGCAATACAATCTTCCAGCGTACTTCGATTATCTGCAAATATTTGTCGCATCCGTGCAGTAGTTGCTCGTGGCTGAACCTCAATGCCAACAGCCGCTAAAACATCTTGCAACTCTGAGCGATTCATGCGATTCTCCATATCAAATTTAAAATAACACGAAAAAAAATAATTTTTATTTGATAAATCCCACTTCTGAAGTTTTTATGTCAGGAATCTTGCGATATTTTATTATAACATTACAAACCTTTATTCCAATTTTTTTTAAATTATCTCACACCTTTTTACCTAAAATCAAACCTAAAACTAAACTGACTTCTTATTTACTGTCAAAACCAAAAGGTTGCTAGATTGATTATATTACAAATGAAAATTTATTTCAAAAAATATGTAATAAAAATTATATATTTTATAATAAGAAATTAAGATATTAAATTATTAAATTATTTCAATAACCTCGTTAAATTTAAGCTGTAATTAAAGTTAAAAAATTAAGTGAAATCTAATAACAAAATTAATTTATCTTGTTGTAAAAAATATTTAATTTGCTTTTTATAACCTTACTAACGAATCTTAGTGTACAAGTTACTATTAAATAAAATTTTATGAAGTAGTCCAAAATTGATATATTTAATTTTTTCAAAGTACGATCCGAAGAACCGATCCTCTTTACTTATAACATTTCGAAACAAATACTCTTTCTCTATTAAATTCATGTACCTATTTAATATAACAAAGTTTTCAAGTACATTGTGGAATTAGCTTTATTCCCATGTTTTAAATTAATAATCCTTAAAATAATAAGTAATATAAGCAATAAATGTAAATCTAATAATAAATTCAAAATTAAAATATAAATACAAAATCATTTCTTCAATAAAATATTTCCTATTAAGACCAAAATTAATACAAATCAGTTTTACGTACTATTTTGCTGCGATATTTGTCATAATATTGTGCGCTTTTAACTCATCATTTCACACAAATGTGCAGTAGACATTTCGTCTCCGCACATTTGGGTGCATTTTTATTTTCGAGGGTGCACACAAAATGTGCTCCTTGTATTCTTTTCTGCACACGCTGTGTGCGAAGGTAAGCTGGCTGCCGCACACACAATGTGCTGTGCGAAATAACTTCGGCACAAACAACGTTTGCGTGTGCGAGTTTTATGCGTTTTGAAATGTGCGTTTTGTTTGTGCACACAAGATGTAGCATTTAAGAATTGCACAAAAATTTTCGCACACCACATTTGTGGTGTGAAATTTTATTTAGAATCGCACAACATTTGTGCGTGGTGTTTTGCATTTTTGTGCACAGCACAGTGTTTTTCTGAACCCTGCTATAATCGAAGCATCGGTTACCTTCATGGTACTCTAGTTGTTGCCAGTACCATTTTAGTGATCCCCCAGTCAACAGACAATGGAAGTCCGTAAAAAGTTGTTGATCTGTAACTGAGTGTTGTTCTTTCATTCTCTCGACTCTGAACAC